ATCATCCTGCAACATTCCACCGCTTGATCGCTCGCGCCGGCTGAACGGAAAGGACAGCAAAATGGGCGCCAGGCTTCAACGTGTTAATGAAGGCTGGTATTCTTTCACTGTTCACAGCTCCATGGAAAATTGTTAGCGTATTGGAAACATCGTTGTGAATTGGCGAAAACCGTTTGTTTGGCTGCCTATACAGCTCGTTAAGTACATTTATGTTCATAACGATTTTAAAAAAATTTAGAAATCTCTACGGCCGATATTTACATTCTTACAAATGGTGGATAGTGTTCAACAATGGACATCAAAATACAGTAGAACTTTTCAATTATCCGACTCAGATGGGACCAAACCCCATTAGGATAATCAAAAATTAGGATAATTTGGTTTTTCCCGAAGAAAGGATCTACGTACACTTTTGTTAATAACTGTATGTACTGTATGTTGAAAATGGGAGAAAAAAATTATTAAAAAAGGGTTTTAATTAATTCAAATGAAAAGGCAGTTAGTGTAGCTACAGTACTTACAAGTGCTGAAATGCTGAACATATCGTTCAAAGTAAGCTGTTTGACGGACACCGTGCCGGCACTTAAAATTTCTTAGCCAGCCATTGCATGCTTTAAAGGATGACCAGCCAAGGTTCGAAGCTAAGATCTTAGCTTTTTCACAAAAAAAAAAAAAAAAAAAAAAAAAAAAAAAAAAAACCGAAGTTGGTTTTCCCATAGAACATTGCTGCAAAAACCACTTGAAAACGACATCTTCTGAATTTATGTTTGTTACTGCCTTCATTGATATTCTTGAAGAACTTCTATCTTCGTTTTCAAGCAGTGACAACAATTTTAAAATTGTAGGTTTGCTCCTTTTAATGTCTGAAATCGTTGATTGTTCGACTAGGTTCTCGACTTAATTTTTTTCTTAAATTCTGAAAGCTGTTCAGATAATCAGCGATTTGGATAGTCGGAGTTCGGATAACTGGAATTGTACTGTACCTTCAAAACAGGTTTTTTTTTTTTTTTTTTTTTTTTTTTTTTTTTTTTTTTTTTTTTTACCCTTTGATTGCTGGGATTTTCCGCCGATTAAATTCAACGAGAGAAGTGGCGCTTGTTTACTCAAAAATATACTAAAGCCTGATGAAAGCCTGACAGCTCTACCGAATGATAAAACTGAGGTTACGGATAATCGGAAACACCTGCATCCATACATCTAATTCTTTTCACACGAACGTTTTGCACAGGCAGGGTCGTTTGAAGGCAGAGCTGGTGCAACTAGTGCAGTAGCACAGAAAGGCAAAAGTTTAATGAAATTTAAAATTACTTATTAAATATAATATTTATAATTAATTATTCATTTATTTAAGAATTATTATCAGGTTATTATTTATTTAATTTATTGGTTATTTTATTTAATTATTGGTTATTATTTATTTAAGAATTATTATCAGAAATTATTTAAGAATTATTATCATTTATCTAAAAATTATTTTTAAATGTCTGGTATTAAATACTTAGTAAACTAATTATTAATAAGTATTTATTTGTTCTGGTTTCAAAATTAGGATATTGTAAACTTTTCAAAACATATCAACCACGGCAAATCGCCTAAGATTGTACTCGTATGAGAAAAAGTCGTTTAAATTTGTATTATCGTTTTAAATTCTTTAAAAAAATAAATAAAAAGGAGAGTATAAAGAATATTTGTTTGATTTTAATTTAGAATAGAATTTATATGTCCAGTTATACATTTTCATAAGAAGACCCAACCAGCTAGATAACTCTCTGGTTTGCCATTTAAGATGGAAGTCCAGCTTAAATTTATATAACAAAAGTTACAAGGATGTTTTAAAGCGTTTCTTTTTTTTTTTTTAAACTTTACTGTTAATTTAGCAATCGATTCAGTTCTTATTTAAATCAATCGTTATTCATGTCTTATTTTTAAATGTTAAGCTTTACTACTTTAATGAGGTATGTGTATTTAATAGAAAGCGGTGGTTAACTAGCATAACATATTCATTTTTAGTAGTAAAAATGCTTAGGAATATTTTTATAAATACTGACGGAGCAAGAATATCTACGTGCTAGTTCATGCGATTTACTTATACGAAGAATATTATTAATTAAGTGCAAATTAGCATGATTTCTTACTGCTCAAGGAAATTAATTCATTTCTCAACTGAAAAATAGCGCAGCGGTGCAGAATTCCTTTGCAAACACAAATAAATCCGCAGCATTTTTACGACCACTGGATATAATAATATTATATCATCTTTAGGAATGGAGAAGCACCAATCGACATAACTGCACGCGAATCCGTTGGAGCATAGAGAAATCATATTGAATCGATCCGCGGCAAATAAAGGAGTATCCGCGGTGGCGCCATCTATCGAAAATGCGTAAACTTAAAAAAATGTGTTATGTGGGAACGTTATGAAGAACCGTTGTTTTTATGAGATTTTTTTGCCTTTCGAATAATCAGAACCAGAAATGAAACATTTATTGATTCAGATCACTGGATACTTTGTAGCTAATATAAATTATTCTGATTAAACTTCATATCTGGCATCCTATTTCTGAGTAAATAATTGATTCAGTGAAAGCAAAGCTCAATTTCTAAGATTGGAAGTGTTGGAGCCCTATCGGAAGGCCATCAGGAAAGGCAAACAAAATTAACTAAATACAACAATAAATAATGAGTAATAAAAATTTCATAAAATGTAAGGAAATAAGCAAAATGTATTAAATGAATAAAATAAATGAAAAATTATTAAATATTATAAATTAAAATACCCATCTTACTACAGAACCCGACTAAATTTTAAGCCCTGAGTAGAATGCAAATTAATTAACTCATATGTGTGTAATATAGTTTCAGTATCTTTTTAGACTAATACAATAAATTAACACTTTGGTGTAATGAATAAATACTTAAATTAACAAAAACTTCACTTTGCACCAACACACAAAAATGTTAAAACAACTGACCGTTACATCTTTAGAATTCTCTATTCTCGTCGCTGCAAATTTCAAAAACGCATTTTTTAAAAATAACGAATCTACAATCTTGCTGTTTATTGACAGACGATTAGTTAAATGTTTTACATATACATATAAGTTGACTAATAATTTAGAGAAAGTCTTTTCCGTCTTTAGTTTCGCAACCGTGATCATATCTGGTATCCTGTTTCTGAGCAAGTAACCAATTTAGTAAAAACCAAGCTGAATTTTTTTAAGACTGGAAGTCTCAGAGCCCTTACGAAACGCCTTCAGGAAAGGCAAACAAAATTAACTAAATAAAATTGTAAGATTCCAATCTTTGAGTTACAGCTAAAAATGAGGAACCTTAAGAACTGGTAAGCAAATAATCGCTTAGTTCAGTTGACAGAGAGCAGGACTCAAATACCTTTTTTTATTCAAAATAAATTTAACAGTCGACTCCTTCTTGGAGTTTACAACAAAGCCTCCACTCGGGCTTGAACTCAGGAATACTAAGAAATAAAACTTAACTAAACTAAACTTGACTAAAAAGATAGATCCGAAGCTATCAAGATTCTAACAGAGTTGGCCCCTTAACGCTAACTAAACGGCGAAAGTATCAAGGGTCTAAAGTACGGCCGAGCATAATAATAGTTTTAAGAGAGAGTAGGCTAAAAGGCGAACGCGCGCTGCTCAGAAACTTTGGCTGTCTAAAGAAGTCAATAGAACTTCAATTGGCTGTTTCGTAATGTTCCTCATATGCCGTTGTGTGTTGTCCACTCTGGCGGCAATTCCAAGTTAAATATTTGAACTTCAACACAGATCAAGAACTTCAACTACTTCTTCATTCGCATTTAACGGAGCTTCTAAAAACACGTTCTGGTAGGAAACTGCAATCTGAAATTAAGAAGTGAAGGTAAGTGGCTTAAACTAAACATTAACTGTTATAAACTTAGGATAAACCTTACAAAGTAATTAAAAAATTTATGCCCAAAGGGGAAGTTTTTTCATTTACGCATACATACATGTTTCGACAGCATTTGGGCTAAAAATATTTAAAAACAGCTTATCTTTAAAATTTCCGATAGACAGTCTTACGTGCTGGAGATAAAAATATTTCATTCTGTAGTTGCCACTTCTCGCTTTGAAATCGTTCAGTTTCTTAAAAAACATGAAACAGATAATAAAGCAAATTCGAAATTTAAGATTCGGGCTTCCAAGTGCCCATATTCTGGTAGAGAACTACGTTATTCAAAACCGGATGGCTCTGGGTACCGTTGTTTTTTCACAATGCGATAAATATACATACATTCATGCAAATTCTTCATTATTTAATTTTTTAAATATTTTGCAAGGCGATAATACTTGATGGCAACAATTTGAAAAGTCATACAGTCGTTTATACTAATTCGACACAAAATAGAGTTTCGACATTAATATATCTTGTAGGCTATCTCCTTCAAAGCAGTTACCTTGTAGAATAATGCACATGTCCAGTGTTCCTGCCACGCTAAAATATAGCCTCGAGGTCATTTTGCATAAGCAATTCCATAACATTTTGCGTCTTGGCAATGGTATGAAAATGGCAACCTCTTCTTCACCTCGGGTAAAGAAAGAAAATTGGCAGGAGGTAATTCTTCTCAGTAGAAATGATATGTTGTGGCTGGCAAGAAAAGAACGAACGAGGAGTGTGTTGTAGTTACTGCACTGAGCATGTTCAAACATGACCCATACAGCAAAACAATAATGTTTATCGTTCTCCGAAGTTCAGCATGTAAAAGTTCCGAATTCGTTCAAGGATGATACTCGCGGAAAGTCTTTCAAATCGCTTCTCGTCTTCAAGAAACGTTCTTTCGTCTTCCCCTATGAAACATTACGTTCATTGCATATTACCTTCATAACGCCTCGCGGAAATCGTCATTTTACTAAAGGAAAGTGCTTGGCGTGTGTGTATTCAGGTCACAAAAATTGAAACAGCATTTCACAAGGGGAGCATCATTTTGGGCACGGGCTTCCGCCTTAAATTTTAGTAATAATAATTTGATTTTTCCGCAGGAGAAAAAGATGAAATCATGCCTATGTTAAATCACAGCCGAGATGAGACTCCAGCTCCACCACCAATAAGGAATCGGCGCCAAAGTGCAATCGACAGAGCAGCTCGTCTTGTGGACATCCACCATACTGTTGTCCATGTTTCTACAGAACTGCCCTCAGGTATGCATTTTGAATATCTTTGACACTGAATATCCGAATCTTTAAACCAAATCAAAGTTGTTAAGTGATATTCAGGGTAACCAATAGATATATTTACTTCACATTCTAAAAATATTTATGCAGGGGGTTTCAAAAAAGATTGCACAGATATGTATCTCATAATTAATGGATAAATGGCTCGTGACTATCAGTTTACGGCTAATTTCTCAAAAGGTATTTTACTATGTAATCTTTTTCAAACACCATGTATAATTCAAAGCTTAACACAATATACTCAGTATTGCGGTTAACAGACATTCAGGCCCAGAATTTACACTTCCATCTAAAGTTTGGCCAATAACATGCTGCGTGATATGTTGCGATTCCTTATCGCAGTGGTTCTCAATCTCCCCTCCCTTTTTTTTCACATACCCCTTAAAAAGCAAGATATTTTTGTGCGATACTGATAATGCTCCACAGTAACCAATGAAAATAGCTTTCTAATGGTGCCATTTAATATTTTATACAGTAACTATAAAGAAGGTTTCATTATAGAAATTTCGAATAAGGCACCTAGTGAACCTGAATCTTATAGACAAATCAGCCTCCTCCCTTCATTAACCAAAATCAGGAAGCGAGCATCCTTAACAGAATGAAAGACCACTTCGATCAAAATATTACACTAATTCCGCATCAATTTGGCTTCAGACAGCGACTATCAACTACTTACCAGCTCTACCGTGTTGCTGAAATAATTTCTGAATGTCTTTAAACAATATATATATATATTGAAGCCTTTTTTCTGAATATTGCCAAAGCTTTTGAATGCATCCAGCTGGACCCACTAACATATAAAATACATAGCCTGAGATTCCCAGGGTACATCATAAACATAATTAAATTCTATTTAACAGGTTTCGTTTCGAGCAAAAATTCTACCCGCCAAGCTATCTTAGCCGGCGATCCACAAGAGTCCGTCCTCGGATCCACTTTATTTAATATCGATGTGAAAGACTTCCAAAATTACCAAACACCACTCTCCAATGCATGCCGAACGCCACAGCAATCCTGCTACATTATGCATTTCTTAGTCCAGTCATACAATGCTTAGGTACTTGGCTATCAAAATAGAAAATTCAAATCATTATCGAGAAATCGCCTACCAGCGGCCGAGAGATGAATTTGCTCAACAGCCGGCGTAGTGGTTAGTGACCCTGACTGCCGTTGCGATGGGCCCAGGTTCAAATTCCAGAGAAGGCATGGTTGTAACTGTCTGTCCTTTCATAGGAGGTAACGGTGGCCACATATTAGGTGCTTCCATAATGAAACGGCCATCACTTCTGGCTTTTGCTGTGGCGCGAGACTAATCTCCACTGGTAATTCAGTCAGGGCTTCGAGTCATGGCTACATGGGTGTTTCTGTGATTTTCTCCCCGTGTAACGTAGATATCAGTCAGTTTCTTTTAGAAAGTCCTCCACAGGGCACATTTTCCTTGGTGGATATCAATGCGTAAGTTTCCGTAATCAAATTTTTTAAAAAAATCGAGAAATCAGTTGCGGTCGTGTTCATCAAAAAGAAAGTAAACAATAATCTTAAACTTTTCGGAATGCCTCTAGCTTAGGCCAAACAAACCTAGGAGTAGTCTTCAGAAATTCGCTGACATGAACACAAATCATTACTTCTATTATCAATAAGTTTCGAGCGTGTAAACCTAAACTCTTTCCCTTAATTGCTCGAAAAAGCGTTCTATCTATTGATAACAAGTTATTCACTTATAAATCAACTTTCCGTCCCATGCTGTGTTATGCCTGTTCTTTTTGGGTATATTCATGTAGAACTAATAGAAAAGCCTCGCAAGTTTGCACCGTTCTGTGCATCGTTCCATAGTACATAATTGATTCTAAACGCTCCACAGTATATAAGGAAAAATTAGGATTCACAAAAAATTATATATTGCGTAGCTCCTCACCTTTTACTATCACCTGGCTCAAAATTTTCACAACAGGCAGCTCACTATGAGTAATGAAGTTTTAGATTTTTTCCTTTGTACAGTAGGATCCCGCAAACTCGACTCCCAATATCTCGACATTCCGTATAACTCGACAACCTTTTCGGAGCTTTTTAAAGATATTTCTAGGCTAAACAGAGCAAATATTACATACAGTATATATAATTATTATTTATGCTTATGTTTTTCCTTGTTCTGTTCAAAAATTTTCCGTTTTCTTTTTCTGTAATCTTTGCTGTTTTCAAATTGTACCAATTGTACCATTGGAACTGCCTAACAAATTTCAAGATATGTTGAAATATTTGGCAACGCTGTTTGCTTCTTTCGAGGATACGAAAAAGTCAGGTATCAGCTGGCCAAAAGTTTTTAAAATCAAAAATCTACCAGGGAAGGCGATTTTCATTCTAGACAATGCCTCATCCCATCCTGATGCAGAACAGTTAAAAAGACGAAGATATAAGAGCCATGTTTCTCCCTCCTAATGTAACTTCAGTGTGTCAGCCTTAGGCGTTGGCGTCAGTGACTAGGGCGTTTTGGAGTCACTGAATTAAAAATACAGAAGTAAACTTCTTTCATCTCTTGTCCGTCCTAGCCATGTAAGAGGGATGTGATATGATCGAGAAACTGAAGAAAATAGATATGTTGGATGGATAGCTCATACTTGGAGTGAAATCCTGCAGATAAGCCTCGTTCGTTTCTGGACAAAGTTACTGGACCATTCAGGAAACGAATTTCACGAAAGCAGAGAAGGTACATAAAATTGTGTAATAGTTGATTTACTTAAGAAAATACCAAGCTGCGAAGAAGTTAGTGATGCTGAAGAATAGATGGGATAAGATGAAAATTGTGAAATTTTAGAATATGCAGAAAGAGTTTCACTAGTGGAAGACAATGTGGATAAAAATGAAGATGAATGAGAAAGCGAAGAGATTGAAGAGAGCGGTAAAGCTAAAATGATGACCCATAGTGAAGGACTGTGTATGGTTCACTTTTCCGTGTCCAATATTGTGCTACAAATGTCTAGCGAAATTTACAGCTAAATATTAAGAGTTCTGAAAATCCCACACCTTATTCCATAAAACTCGACTTTTCGAAAACTCGAATAGTCTCAGTCTACACTGTGTCCAGTTTGCAAGACTCTATTGTATATGCCAAATATCTACCTTGATGTGAAATTTCACGTATCTAAATTATTTAGAAGTGGTCTAGGTTTTTGATCAGTCAGTGAGTGATAAAAATAAGACTTTTCACACATTAATAATTTCATAACTATAAAAGGTTGATCAATGAAATTTGGAATTTTAGGTCTTCAAGGGAACTCTATTATACATACAAAATTTTAAGCCTGTAGATCTAATAGTGTTTAAGTAATGGGGGTCGAAAGTAGCTCGAAATGGTTCGTGTAAGATACACATGGCTGGTGTCTCGCTGTTTTCTTTTCCGTCTATTCCGAACTTGGCTAACACACTGCCATGTGTCTAAATATTCTATCATAAGTAATCATTCGTTTCCTTCTTTGAAAAACGGCCAAACATTGCCAAAGTGGTTCGCTTAAGTACTAAAAAGTATTTTTATAATAATAACCATAATTTTATAATTTGAAACGGCAAATATTTCATTAAATATACGAACAGAAGGTAATGATTTTATACCTATGTATGCTTGTAGCTGAATTTAATTTCTCTTTGAATTTGCAGATGTTATGACGTCGCCAGAGAGAACAGGAAATGGTAGTCCCGGCAGCGCCCTGCATACAAAATCTGAGGGTCCAACAGTAAATTCTCCAAGCGCCATTAATCAAAAGGTCGACACATAAATTCAAGGTCGTGTAACAACATATCCGGAGATCTGGATCGTATAAGAATGAGCTAGCTTATGATACTTTAGTGTTTTCCAGTGAGAAAATGTTTTTATACCTCAGTTCTAAAACGGAAAGAAAAAACACACATTTTGGCTCTTCACCACGTCGCTTCTGTGATTTCATTATTCTTATCCCCTCGTTTTTTATCTGTATTAAATTAAAAGGCACTCTCAAATACTTGATGTGACATCGGACCACGCAAAAAAACTGTCATTCATGACTTGCTTATAAACTATTAAACTCTGGTAACAATCTTTTGCAATTCGTCTGTGGACCAACAGTAATTGATTTAAATTCTGAAAGAGGCATGCAAATACACACAAGAAATTTATCCAAAAGAAATAATAATAAGTAAAAGCTAAATAAATACATATCGGATTATAACTATTTTTCACTAATGACTGGTAGAATTTCATAATCTAAGAATGGCGAATCTTATTACTTCGTAATACTACATAACTATACATAACTTAAAATTATAATTATTAGAATAGTAAGCAGAGCGTTAAAATTGATATGAAACTCTTTCTTATTTAAATTGCAATTATGCTCTTTTATTATCAATAATGGAAAATAAATAAATAAAACATTTATCTTTTGAAAGTGCATTTTATGAAAAGCAAGATTTTGAAATAGGATACAAAAAATGAAAAGAGAATCTAATAATTTTAAGATAATGTTTAGATATGTATTACACTGCGGAAAGAAAGAAAACAACGTTTATTTTGAAACTAATAAAAAATAATGACATTTTCAACATCTTAAAAATACTTTGCATGGCCTCTATATCCTGTCATCATCTTAATTTTTGGAGAAATTACAGATCACTGTTGCCTGTTATGAGTTGTGAGAGAAATCATAACAAATTCATTTGCAGTTTTTTTTCTTTGCGTTTGTAAACTAATATCAAAACATTACTGTTGATAGGCATCGCATCAATTCGTGAACACTAAAAAAATATTAACATTTAAGAAATTTAGTTGGTTGAATTATTAGTATAATATTCGGTAACATTAGTGCATGGTATTTACTGGACAAAAATCTTTTTTTATTATTATTATTTATCTATTCAGAAGAAATAAAACTAACGGGAGAAGGGATAAAGTGACAAATCATAAAAGATATGCAGCCTTTACAAATCATACATAACATTTTCTTTTGTACAACTATATGCAGACTGTAAGTGGCAACAGTAGAAATGAAATAATCGTAGAATGATGTTGTTTAAAAAAAGAATGTCTTTAAATAATGAATAATAAATTGTTTTTCTTTTAAATTTAGTAGCGTAAAGTTATTCTTAAACCAGAAAAATAATGTTTTTGATGTAGCATCTGTAACAGATATATTCTATCTAGTTCTTCCACGCTATATTAGCTCCATTCATTAATAATAACAATCTGCCACGTTTTCTCAATGCTTGAATAAATCATATTGAAATAAATGCTTAGGAATGTTTAAATTAAATGTTGTCATTAATTTTGCATTTATTTCATTTAAAGTCTTCCACAATACGTACCACCTACTGCATGGATCGGCAACCCGATGCCCGCTAAGCAATTTTAAAGTGCCCGTGTTCGGATATCTAAATTCCAAATTTTAAATATATGGACAATTAACACTTGTACTTATGATGAAGAATTTTAGTAAAAGTTCTTATTTTATCTTCTGCGCTTTAACAACTGTATGAATTGTACATTTAAACTTTTGACTAAATTAGAATCTCATTGGTATCTAGATATACTACATTAATAGATAAATCAATTTTTGACAATTATATATAAACAATTTTCTGTCCCCATCATCTTCATAATCTATGTCCAAATACGGCGTGCTATGCTTTATATCCGTAACCTCTGTTCGTATATGAATTTAAATTTCAAGTTGCAAGCACAGTACGCATTCTTTTCTTTAAATAAAAAAGTTACGAAAATGTGCACAGACCATCGATTTTGCAGTGCTTGGTTCTGAGAGAATGAATTCATTTCAGCTGATTGGTGTGTCAACAATTTATTTCAGCTGCACGACAACAACTACTTGTAATTTTCTTGCTTGGTTAGCAACTTTTTTCATAAACGTTTTCGCAATAACAAAATTAATTTTTAGAAAAAAATCTAAACTTTTACAATCCACATAAATTAACTCTATTTTGATATATATATATATATAGTAGCCCGCCCCACGGTGCTCACCGAACTCTTGCATTTTTTAAATATGCATTCTTAGTAAAAAACGTTGCCGACCTCTAACCTAGTGACATTCCAAAAAAATGGTTTCAATAATTATAAATATTAATCCTTCATCCCTTTGGCGACATTAAGCAATTCCTTCTTCCCATGTACGGATGATATCTGTCAGTCATAAATTCATAATGCCAGCTGTGTTCCTTTGCGCCCACTGCGATGAGTAACTGGAATGCGAGTTGAGCTCTTTGATGACCATCAAAAAGATTAATACAATAAAACAACTATTTCTGAACTTGTCGAGACCTACTTCATTTAGAGTATGCAAAAAGTAAGGATAACTAAACAGAATGAAGAATTTATTCCATACCGTCACCACGCAACCTCAAGGGACAGTAAAACTATTTGTCATCTTTCACCCTTTAAAATATTTTATAGCAATTCTTCCTCAAAAGAAGATATTCTTTTACATGCGGCCATTTCACAAATTCATTTTAGCCATTGTTAATGTTGAACTGGAGCAGAAATAAAATTGGATCACAATTCAAGCTGAATTAGAGCAGTCTTCTTGCAGCTCCAGTCACTTCACAGACGACTGGAAACATTTAACGACATTGTTGAATGGAAGTGAATCGTTAACAAAGGTTTCTGCTTCCCTCAGTTTCTTGTTGTTTTCGAACAAATGATATAATCTAATCATTTAAAATTGGGTGTCCAAGATCAATTGTATGGGAACTCAATTTCATTTTCATCATAATTTATATCTCTTCAAAATCGCTTTCATTCAGTCGTTTTGCTTTTCTAATACTCATTATTATGCTGTTAAGTTTCACTGTTACAACAACAATTCACGCCCATTCAGTTATCTTTAAATCTTTATAATCGTCTGTGAAGTGACCGGAGCTGCAAGAAGACTGCTCTAACTCAGCTTGAATTATGATCCATTTCAACTTGATAAATGGCTAAAAAGAATTTTCGAAATGGCCGCATGTAAAAGAATATCTTCTTTTGAGGGGAGACGGCTATAAAGAGACCGATGGTATTAAGTTAATATTTAAAGATAAAAACAATCAATAGTTAAAACTGCAAATTTAATCTGTAATAATAAAAGAATTATCATGTTTAAATTAAGAACTGAAAAAACAAATTGTCCACACACTCTGTAAGTGAAATATTACCATTCTTTAGAGAGAGTACTCAAACAACCACTGGTCAGCTCATGAACAAATGAAATTTTAGAGGAAAAATTTGCAATCGGAATAAAACTTTCCAAAGACGAAAAATAAAAAGAAATAAAATGGCCGCCTGATAGGAAATAAAAATTATATAAATCAAAAATATTAACAAACTTTATGTTGATATAATTAACAAAAAGCTGAAAAATAAAGGAAAATATAAAAAATCCGAGTACAAATACTGCTTTATAGATAAAGTTAATAGTTTTTAAATATGAACTAATCTTCAAATAACTTTGGGGGGATATAATATTGTTAATAAAATTAAAAAACATAAACATAGCAATGTCGTTGGAAAATCATTTTTGGATCAGTTTTAAATAACAGAGTAAAGAAATGTAGCAGTTTGTAGCAAAAGAGTTCAAAAAGTGTAACAGACTGAAATAGATAGGATTTGCAAGATTTAATTAAAATGCAAGCAATTGCAGCATACCCATTTAGCAAATGCATTCAGGAAACAGAATTTTGGATATTTAAATTCAAAACGTAAAAGAAAAACCAATCATTGCCCTGGAAGCAATCAGAAATTTTATCTAGTTTCATCTAATTCCTTTCCGCACTTAATGTAGACGGTTTTTAAATGTTTAAATATATACATATATATATATTAAATTAGAATTTGAAATTAATTTAGTTTTCCAGTATTAAAAATTAAATCATTCTTCTTCCTTAAAGAATTTTTATTGTTTTAATTGAATTTTTATTGCATTATATATTTTACATATTCTAACTAATAAGAATAATTTCATTACAGAATGCACATGAAATTGTGCATTTAGTTTAAAGCTAACACTGTGAAGAAGCACTAAATTCGTTCTATTTATAATGATAATTATATACCAAAGAGAAATATAAAATTTGCAATATTAATAACATTGAATTAATTATAACACTGAAAGACTTCACCAAATTTTCAGATAATTTAAATTCATATTTATATGTAATAAAAACAATTAAACTAACATTTAAATGTTATGAAAGAAATTAAACAAACATTTTAATATAATAATTTAAGCTTGTATTTGAATAAGACAAAATTTAAATAAATAGATATGCTATTGAGTGTTTAATAAAATCGATTTACAGAATGATATTTGTTAGAAACTCATCGTTAATTATGAAAATTTGCTTTTAACTTGAAAACATTATCAATGATATTTATTCAGAAAAAAATATTTTATTTATCAACAAAGTAAATAAATGTTATAAGTGTAAGAACATTTATTCGTCAATATTCTGCGAATTGAGTAAAATAAATTATATATTGCATTCTGAATTAACAATACAATTTCCAGAGGAAATAATATTGTTAATAAAATTTTAAAAAAAAATACAGTAATGTCACTGAAAAATCATTTTTCGGGTCAGTTTTAAACAACAGAGTAGAGAAGTGTAGCAGTAGTAGCAAAATATTTTAGAAAATGTAACAGCTTGAAGCAGACAGGATTTGTAATATTTAATTAAAATGCAATCAATTTCAGATACATACTTGGCAAATTCAGGAAATTAAATTTTGGATATTTAATGTCAAAACTATACGTCTTAAAAAAAACAGCTCTTATCTTGGAAGGAATTAGAAATTTTATTTAGTTTTATCTGATTAATTTCCAAACTTAAGCAGAATAATGTTTCTTAAGTTTAAAAAAAAAATTATTAATGAGAACTTGAAATTAATTTAGTTTTTAAATGAAAATTATATTATTATTCTCTCTTAAAAACTTTCGTAAAATTACTATTTTATTACAAAATTATATTTTTCAATTATGACAAAGCATATGAGAATTTCCTATGCAAAAAACGTCTCATATATAAATGTAAAAAATATAAAAAGGTATTCATATGAATTAAATTAATAATCAGGCTTTATTACTAATGAAAATAAATTTAACTTTAATTGAATTTCATTACAGATTAAATTACTTTAAATATTGCCTCCCCCACCCCACAAAAAAGAAATAGATAGTCAGTAGTACTGACTGCTTTATATCTGTGAAAATTTTGTAATTTAGCTTCATTTTGACATAAAATTTCAACAACAGAAAAGAATTCATTAGCCTGAAATAAAATGGGGGGGGAGAATAATTAATTTAAATTTGCTTAAATATACCAGAAATCAGGTGATAAATTTCGGTTTGGAAACAAGATAAGCAGTATTTTAATTTTTGTCAGCAATCTTACATCGAGTTCACTTTTCGTAGAAAATTTTAAGTATACTTTCTTTGCTGTAACCACTGGAGCAGGATACATGTAAGTGCTGTTAGCAGGAATGGACGAATGAATTGATATAAATGGTATAACTCTTGCATAAAAATGTAAGTAACTGGAAGATTTACAAGATCTTTATCAAAATATGCATTTTTAACAATAATATTAGACATTTCTCATGTACATTCAAATATATCTAGAAAAGCAAAATATTATTTTCTGTTATGAATGTGGAATAAACTATACTTTTATCAACTATCCACAATAATATTCTTTAAAGAACACATGCAAATTAAACTGCAAAGTTTGCTTAGTATGATGGTTAGTCTCAAAAGCTATAAACCAGTTTCAGATGCCTTCATTTATCTTACTCTGGCAAACACATGGGGGGGGGGATTATATGATCTAAATACTTTCGCATTCAAATTCTATATATTGCTCAAAATAGGCTTCAGAAAATAACAATGATGCTGTAATTTCTCCTAATTTTATTTAACAACTCTGATATTATATCAACGAACTTCACTGCTGATGGACATGTGGCAAAAGAATCATTCCCAAGAGGAACTTCTCGTATTTGCACGCTTTGTAATGAAGATCTGGAATCAAGAATTCTAGAAAATGATCAGCATTCCTATTCAAAACATTTCTTTGGTGCTTACAGAATGTACAAAAATGTGATCCCTTATTCTAATAGTGTCTTGTGTCTTTATTTTTAACAATATCTGCATCTGATACCTTACTTCATCTTTCACATATTTTCATTTCGTAAAAGAGAAAATTTAAGCAAAGTCTTATTTTAAAATGAAAGCTATAGTACAAAACAGAATTAGTTTTAAATAAAAGCATACAATTAAAATACTTCAGATACATAAAACCTAAAAAATATTAGTGACAACTATTTTAATACAAAACAAGCAATACCACCATATATATAAAAAAATAATAATAATGTAAAATAAATAGAGCAGCTAAATTAAGTTCTCTAAGTCTATAAAAACATATGATATAGAGGACTCATCAAAGAAAGTGTTGAAAAAAACAATCCACTTCTATCATTTTAATTTTATAAAGCAATCTTTTGTATGTATAGTCATTTTGTATGTATCATTTTTCCATGTTTCAGTTTAAAGTAGCAAATAACAAATATATCCATACTCTATTTTACTATAAGAATATATCCATACGGTGTACATTTTTATTTAGCTTAATTTTAAGCATTATTACATTCTAATATAAGTTTAAAAATACTAAAAAAATTAATTTGGTTTGAATGATATAAATAATAATTTTGAACACCCTATTTTCTCCACTTGATAAATATATATAGTATAATTTATTACTATAATCAAAAAGAAACTAGATCAGGCCAGTCATATTTTAAAAACTTACCTTGATCTTAATCAAATCTGATCTCTTATTCCCTTCAGAACAGGTCTATTATAGCTTAGATCCAGGTACTTGAATGACAACTAAAAGTTCTTCCTTTGAGTCTTTTTAAAGTGTATCTAGTACCCTCTTCGATTCAGCTTGAATATCCTTTATGAAGTATTATTCACAGCAACAATTTGTAATGAAGCAAGACTCCAAAATGAACGGCATGAAATTTGAAATCAACTAAAGCTAAAACGTGCATCAAAGTTCATAACTGGTATACATACGCATAAAATTAACATGAAGGAAATTGTGCATTTTTCCGTGATGGTCAGACAATGAATATGTTTATTGATATTTTGAAGCCATTGAAGAGAGATTGTTTTTGTTGAAAGAGCTCAGGTGTGCACGGATGGAAACTGGTTTTTTGATCACCACAATGCAATGTCTCATAGTGGTCTGAAGATGGATTTATTTATTTCAGCCAAACGCACAACTACCTGCTGAACTCTATCTCAGTTTTGAATAAAAGCAGCTCCAGAAACCAGTGTCATGAAAAGCAACAATTTTTGGCGGACATGAAATTTGTAGTAGTCTTTTATTCTCTTTACATGCTTGAGATATTTTGTACCTTGAGATATTTTTACTTCCAAATACGAAGTTTCGCAATTGGGGAGAGGGAGAGATTTGTCATTTTAACTTTCTAAGAGACATTCAGGCAGGGGATACTAAGTTCATTTCAATTAAAAATAAAAAAGAAGCATTTACAATCTTGTTATAAATATTCAGACATGTGCAGAATGGGACTTTTTGGAGAGGGTTGGAGAGAGACTTAATTCAGGTGAGCATTCAAACCTTGATTGGTCTTGTTTGGTTACCTCTTAATAAGCTTGAAGCATTAATATGTAAGCATAAATCTAAATTTTCATATCACAAATCTAAAACATGAATAAAATTATTTTAATTGTGGGTCTTAACACTTATTGCCACTTTTATTTTTTACCACATGTAACATGTACAATAATACTGCAAATGATATCCCCGGGGTGTAAATTTTTACTGTTATTAAGTTTAACTTTTTTTTCAGGTGGTGTTCATTTTACGACATACTACCATTATTCACAATGACACTCAGCAACTGCTATGATAGTTTGCAGATTTCATCTCAATAAAATTTTAATTTATGCAGATAAATACATGTAAAAAAATTATAAATTAACAGTAATTATTCAGACTAATCTTTTGTTTCTTGTAATATTTTTTTGCTTAGGTTTTATAATATTTTTCACAAAGAGTAACTGAAATTTAAATAACATTTAAGCAATTGAATGCACCATAGTATACATGAGCAATCTTATAGAATTCAAATACCAACAGAAAATTTCATTAGCCATAATTCTGAAACCATATTTATATAGCAATTTGAATTTACATGACATTATAATGGTAACATCTTGAATAGATATTTGCTAGATATCAGTCCTTATACATGAAGAGCTGCCCATCCATAGCTCTTCATGTATAAGGCTAACCATAGTGGTTAGCCTTATACATGAAGGCTAACCATAGTGTAGTATTTCATGTATGAGGCTAACCATAGTGGTTAGCGTTGCTGACTGCCGTGCCGAAGGGCCCGAGTTCGAATCCCGGAGAAGGCATGAATGTTTGTAAATATATGGTATCTGTGTAGCAGATAATCTATACCGACACCATATATTTACAAACATTCATGCCTTCTGCGGCACTCTAAATATGCGGCGAGCCGAAAGTCCTCTCGTGTGGTTCGGTGGATGGGGGAGAGGGGTGGGAGACCGTCGGACTGGTCACCCCGGGGTGCTGTCCATCAAAATTGGGGACAGAAGTAAGCCAAATCCCCCTGTCACCTGTTAGGTGCTCAAGGCTGTTGCCAACGACAGGCGTAGAATAGCGCTCCTTGCCACGAGGAATTTCGTGGGCTTGGGCTGACTTCGTCAGACAAATGAGCATAAGCAACAACAACAACATACATGAAGAAGAAAGATCATGTTTGTCTAAAAATTAAACATAAATTAAGTTTTTATTTATTACAAAAAAAAGCTAAATTATGCTAATTAATGATACTTTGACAGAATTTATAATGCTGAAATGTATGAACCTTTCTGTTATATTTTTGTCTGCACCAAAATATAAACATGAATGATCAAGGAGATAAATCTGAATGTATTAAGCTAAATATTCATAGTGCAAGTGATATGATGAACTGCCTTCTTTTATGTTCTTCACAAAAAAAAAAAAAGCAAGCCAACTAATTATGAAATCTTCAGATTTGTGGAGTTGCAGAATTAATAAGCACAAAATAGATAACATCTGAGCTCAGTTTATTTTCATCAAGCCTTGAAATGTTCTTTAACTCGTACAACACTGAGGTAATCTGTCTTTAAAAGACAATAAAGTAAAACCTGGTAATTTAAGTTTTATATATATATATATATATATATAATGAGAAATTGTGCATACATTGAAATTAAGAGAATTTTCATATTTGATCTACGATCTCCAGAACTACTGAACAGATTTTAATAAAATTTGGTGTGAACATAGGTTGACATAATACAAACAAAATAAAACATTCAACAGTAGACAATATTCAACAATAGACACACATGTTCGTGTGTAATACTCATGGGAGTCTGGAGGCCTGTAACAGCGGTTGCCGAAGACATAAATGAAATGTTCCTTAATCTTCTAATTGGATCCGGCTTATTATTTTTTGCAGACTGTTAGAGCAATTTTATAAAAGTAAGCTTGAACTTTCGATTAGGTCAAAAAGAATTTCCGGTTCTGGAGCTGCCAAAGGATCTACAAAGCGAAAGCATGTTTCGATGTCCATCAAACAAAAAGTGGAATTGCTGCAAAAAAAATGGATAGAGGCATATCCTTTGTTTCTCTGACCATTCCGAAATCTGTTTATCAATTTCACGCTGCTCTGCGGGGAAGGGAGGAACGTCGCAGCGCGCAATGAACTGAAAGTTGATCTGTGAGCACTATCCTTATCTTCAGGGCGGATGTTTTTATTTTATTCGACTTATAATTCCTTACTAAATGTAGTATTTCATCTCGATGTACTCCGTCTTTTATATGATTTAAATCAAATTCCTTGTCATTATAAATATCACGAATACGCATCAAAAAAATCAGTTCATCACGAATAGTTTTCTGGTTGCAATTTTCTAATTTCGATTATGCGTAATGTATGCTTTACACATGCGCGCGTTGAAAGAAATATTTAATAAAGTAAACAAATAAATATTAAGCTTTTCCTTTGTAAATTTTGATACCCTTTAGATCATAATTGCTCTTTATTTCATAGATTACGGTTTCGTATTTTTTAATTTTATAATTTCTGCGTGCCATCTTTCCAGATTTAAACTGATGATCTATTATCCGGAAAGTCCCGACGAGTCCGGATTAAAGACTTTTGACTGTAGTTAGATACCCTAAGTCATTATAAATTTACATGGTCACTATTTATTTTCTTTTTTATTTCTAAAAAATACATTAAAAACACTGTTTATTATATCATAATCTAAGAATATTTTACAGTTTAATAGATAGATAATTACGAATGTACTTTTGGATACTCCTCTGTTACAGCGGCCCCCAACCATATTTGGCAATTTTAGATTTGCACCAAGATCTCAGCTATACTTTTGCCAAGCTCATGAAGCACGAATGTAAAAGTAAACAACACAATATATAATAACAATAATACTCATATGTTATTTCCTAAGAATATTTCTAAGAATCCTTATTATTATTATTTTATTACATGTAATTGTTCCGGTCAACTGCAGCATTTTCACATATATTAAGCTGTTTGTTACACCATTTCAAGAACATCAACTTCTCTGCCGAAGAATATATAAATCTAATAGAAGTGAAGAACGATATACTGGAGCTGCTGAACCAATTTCCAACATGGAGCCTCTTTTTCTTTTTGCAATTTTTACTACTGCACCTCCAAATGGTTTCATCGTTAACACATTCTGTGGCTAATTAAACATTATGTTTAAGTTTCATTCTGTGGCCATTTTTGCATACTTGTTTGTCAGGTTAAAGACCTCTTTTCGAAAAAATGATATGGTATTCTCCTCATTAATTGGTAAATTAAAGATACTTAACGTCATATTCACACAGACGGTGCTAACATATGATCACACGGCGAGGCATAAGAACACATAGACAGATTTTGCCGTAGGATAGAATCTTACGCGTCGGTAGCAGACTTGTGCAATCTCAGGTGGTAAGTTATGATTGTAAATATCCAATCATTTTGCCAGC